TAAAACAAAACAAAACAAAAACAGAAAGAAAGAAAAAAGAAAAAGTGGGGAAATGTATGTGTATAACATATCAAACGAGGTCGAATAATTCGTGGAACCATTCGTGGAATCCGATGAAAAAAAAGAAAAAAAAAAAAAAAAAGAAAAAAAAAAAAGAAAACGCGAAATAAAAATGATTACACGATCGACGGACGACAAAACTCGGGCACAAAGTGATTTTATTTTTCGCCGTGCTTACGTTGTGCGGTCGGAAAAGTCGATCGATTTGTTCTCGCGTGTCGATTGCCTTCTCTCTCTCTATTTCTCTTTCTAACAAAAAAAAAAAACAAAAAAAGAAGAATAGATAACAAGAAATAAAAACAAATAAAACTTTTATATAATATAAGCGAAATCGAACGTTTCCAATGGATCCTCTCTTTGTTTCTAATATATTTAAAAACAAAATAATTAATTATGATACACAAGTTCGTTCTAATATTTTCTATTTGTTATTTTATTATTATTAATAATACGAATAAAACGATCCCCGTTCCTTTTAACGATGGATATTAATCATTTATTCAATATCGTTTAAAAGTTGTTCAATTAGTAAGTTTAGCGTGTGTAGTATAATAAATAGTAATAGTACTTATATCGCTTTCATAAATCACATCTCAATTATTCGTAAAGTTTCATATGAAAATATCGTATACGTTCCTTTTTTTTTATCGTTAAATAATATCTAACGTGTTTATTGAAGAAAAAAAAAACAAGAAATAAACAAGAAAAAGAAGAAGAATAATAATAATAACAAATAAAAAAAAAAAGAAAAAAAAGAAGAAAATTAGTTAAAATCACGAAGAGTTAAAAACACGTTAGATTAATTAAACGTGATGTGTCAATACTTTTTCCCCCGTAGCACTCTTTACCCCGTTCTCTTTACAAACTCGGTGTAGGTAATAATGAACAGTGAAATAAATGAAAGAGAAAAGTTTATATACAAACGTAAATATGCATAATATACGTGTGCCCTGGCGCGCGAGTCAAGTGAACGAACGCGAGTGCGAGTGCTAGTGTGTGTACATATTCGATATATATATCACAAAAGCTTGATAATTACTGCATTAACTAAAAGAACAAATAAATTGAATTTACATGAGAATGATAAAAGCGATATTAATTCGATGATTAACACGTATCGGTGATCGGCACCAATAGAAACAGCAACTGCAATTGCAACGGCAACACACAGTTTCCAACGTTAACGTTACACGTGCAACAGGTTTTAAACATTTTTACGATAAAGAACGTGCGCTCGCGCGCACCTTTCCATGTAATTAATCGAAATGGAAAGGAAATTCAGGAAGCCGTGGCACGTCGCGAGACATTAAGCGAGTCGTTAGTTAAATATGAGCTATTGCGTTAATCGGACAGAGATAGATAGATATATATTAAATCTTTCTTGTAAACGTTCAATTCTAACTTATCCATGTAATAGGTGAATTATCGTTATTGAATAATGATTGAGAAAATGATTACACGATCGGGTAACACCGATCTCCTTATATATTTCTTACACTTCTTTCATTTAAACATTTTCTTCAAATTAATACGCGATTTAAAAGGTTCCTTCGATAATCATGATTTTTCATTCGGATCTAATCGCACAATTTTTCACAAGAAGAATATTTATTAAAACATTGAAACACTCGTATACGTTCGGCCGAAATCGTTCAATATACATTTGCGAGTGTTCAAAAATAATAATAATAAGAAAGAAAGAAAAAAGAGAATAAAAAAAAACACATTCATATTTGGTTGTATATAATTTGAATGAATAAATAACACATTTGAAAAACAATTCCATTTCTAACGTTCTAATTCTCACACTGTTAGAAGAGAATTTTCTATATCTATCCTTATTCATAACATCTGACGATAACTAAACGTTCTTGATGATACGTCGAATAGGGTAATTGTTAGAGCAGAATAGATTGCTCCATTGACCTAAGAGAAGAGTAACGAATACGTCAATTCTATTTTTAAGTTCTCGTCTCTTCTATTTCGTACCAAGAATAGTAGTAATACATGCTATATCTATATCTATAGATCTATAGTTATATTTGCAAATGTTTAGGACGTCCCGAAGGCATTTTCTTTCTAGAGCTGGTAAGATAGACAAATAGAGTGGTAGGAAGGAACCCTTAGGTGAGCTCAACGGGGATGAATAAAGAGAAAAGCGGGGTTAAGGGTTAGATGAGAAAGAAAGAAAGAGAAAAAGGAAAAATAAGCTTTCCCGTAAACTTTTCAACTTCTTATTCTTCTTCTTATATACCTTGTGGTCGGATCAAAGAGGATTCTTTCAACGTGTGATGAGTACGAGTATGTATATGAGAATAAGAAACAAGAATAAAGAATACAAGGAAAGATCCTTCAAGTTTCAAGGGGTTGAAAAGAGAAACTAGGGATGATTCGTCTAACATCTGTCATCATCCATCGCGATCTTATTTTCAATTCTTCTTTTCGAACTTCTTTTTTTTTAAAAAGAAGAACATTAACCAAGGAGACCAAATTAATTTTCCACTAGACGATTATTATCATTTAGGAAAAACGTAATACGCGATATAAATTATTTTTAGATAACAGTATTTTCATTGTAATTGTTTTATTGGAATGTTGGAAAAATTTGGAAAAAAATCTTTGTGAAAATATCATGAATTAATTTGGATAAAGATTTGGAGGATGAGATTTATTTATTTATGAAAAAGATAACGAATTGTAATGTTAAAATGAGAAATAATAGATTTGTTAGAAGTAATCGTTTGACCGACAGAAGAATATCTGTTGGAAATGTGAATCTATAATCAGTTTGATACGGATGAGTACTCTTGGGATTTTTTATGAGAATAAATTGAAAGAGCAAATAGGTATTGAAATATCTTAGCAGGTTCATTTATCTACTCGTGTTGGTCGATGGTTATCATCGTGGGGGTTAATGGATTAGTTTATTGTATTGACGATTGTTTGTATATTTGTTAGGTTTAGGATTGGGTCCGCATACTCCTGAAGAAGCAGCAGTCCTGGCGGCGGCAGCAGCTGCATTACATCATCATCACCAAGGTGGTCCTGGAGGTCCAACGATGAGGCCTCTAAGGCCACCTTTGCCACCAGGGATGCTGCATACTTCGCCGCATCCCTTGGCACCGCACCACCCCCTGGCCGCTCCTCATCATCCTCTGGTACCACCTCATCATCCAGAGGAAGATGGGGTCGTCGATGATCCTAAAGTCACGCTAGAGGGCAAAGATCTTTGGGAAAAGTTTCACAAACTTGGCACAGAAATGGTCATCACCAAAAGTGGCCGGTAAGTTTTCACTCAATCATCGTTTATTATATTTTAAGTATCTCATTCTTTTTGTTCTTATTATTAAGAAAATATGTTATTTGTACCTTGAAATCTTATTTTTATGTATTAACACATTGGGGACGAGCGGTCACGAGTTAACTCGTGTTAAAAAAAAAAAAAAAAAGAAAAAAGAAAAGAAAAAGAAATAAGAAATATTAAGAGTTGAATATAATAAATAAAATTTATTAAAGTTTATTTATATTAATAGATAGGTATCGTAGGGGGTAACATCTAATATTTTATAATGTATGGGTATTTCACAATATAAAAATAAGAAAAAAATAAAATTTCCAGTTGCTGAAGAAGTCCCAATAACGAAGTTCTAGTTCTTTTGAATATCCAAATTCCCTACGATACCTATTTATTAATAATATTATTTTTCGAGACAAGAGAAACAACTAATTTATTTATATTGTTTTACTTCCATATCCGCTTTCAAAACAATAGCCGACCACATGAGGTAAATTTTCAGAAAAGTTGCCTACAGAGTCCCGCAATGTGTTAATTGCCGAAAATGTTTTTCATCAAATACAACAAAACTGTGTCTTTTATCAAGATAAATTGATTAATTATATCACGAACGATATCTTTCATCATTTTTAAATATATATTTTAATAGAATATTAAATTGACGCGAATTAAAAAATAATTTACAATGTAAAGGAAAAGGTTAAATGATTTTTATCGTTAAAATATGCCTTACGAGTTGTTATCTCCATGAATATTAAATGACATTTTCATGATTTCTTGATCGGAACTAAGGAAACGTAAAGGTAGGTAGGCAGTCACCGTTGAACGCTTTACAAGCTGCTGACAAAAGCAAGTGGTTTCTTTCTATAGCCCACTTTTCGTCCTTCGAAGTAAACTTCAGCGATCATGGTTTATACAAACGCGTAGAAGCAGCCTATCAGATTCAAGCATAAAAGCAAAGACTGTATAGAAGGAGGGGGGTGGTAGAAAGAAATAAAGAACTAGAGATAGAGATAGAGATAGATAGATAGGCCGTTAAGTAATTTAAAAAGAAATGAAAAGCGCGTTCTTCCGCGACTAGGCTTAGAAGTTAGAACGGGCTTCTAGATAGACAGACACGAGCTGAAAACTATAATAGCTGAGAATAGAGCACGCGCCTGGAAAAGGGTGAGCATATACCTTTACATATTTCATGTGCGACGCGTACAGGTGCGTGTTTTTGCGCTCGCGTTTACATTCATATATTTCCATCTAGAAACGTACATTTGTATAGTTTATACGTGTGTGTATCTGTATATATATATATATATATATATATATATATATATATATGTAATTGTGTCGACTTATCAATGTTACTCATATTCATTTCTACTTTACGTACTTACACATTATATCTAAGGATTTCCATACACATCTAATGTAGAAATTCTTCTATACGTATTTTATTTTCCTATTTTTTTGTTTCTTTTTTCAAAATATGCATCTCTCTTCAACATTCCTATTATTTAATTGTGTTTGTATACGTTCATGCGTTTGTCTCCTCTCTGTCTCTCTGTGTTGCTTTTCATGAGTGCATATATCGGACGGATTTAATCTTTGAATGTTAGTGTCCTGTTGCATGTGTATATGATACTACACAGTACTAATCCTCTCCTCTCTCTCTCTCTTTCTCTCTCACTCGTGTACATTCGATTGCAAACAGGGTGTTCTTTGTCTCTCTTTCTCATACTGTCTGTACAGGGAGAGAAAGGGAGAGAGAGAGAGAGTGCAATGCGAAACTCGCACGTGGATTTCGGCTTTGGTCTCCTAATTTGCGTCATTAGTATCGCGAGAAAGGGAAATCGTGATTTGCCATTGGGGATTCTCTGTTTCTCTGTCTGTCTGTCTCTCTCTCTCTCTCTCACACACACACACACACATTTGATTTTTCTGTCTATACGTGTTGCGATAAAGGGGTTGCTTCCTGTTAGTCTGGCCGAATAGAAACTCAGCTTTCTCACCCTTGACGTAAATCTAACGAACGATCACGCTGTAATTAATCATTTCATTTTTTCTTTATGAAATTTATTATCACATTTTGTGTTTCATTGTAATATTATGTTTATAGGCGTACGGGTTTGGGGGAACACAATTGTAGAATAAAATTATTCGTACGTTTTGCATCGGTTTTACGTGTGTCTTGTACATTTATTTCCAAATAATTCTCTAATTTACATATAAATAATAATTAAAAAAAAGAAAAACAAGAAAAGGAATAATTTTGTTGTTCCTAGCAAGAAGTAATTTTTGAAGTTTCATTTGGTAATAATTATAGATGTGTAGAGACCTGTGTATAGGTCGAAAAACTTGATGCTTCCTCTCTCACAGTTATTAGTGTTAATTTTTAAGACGTTGGTTCGCGCAAATTCGTGCCCGTCACGTTGTTCGTCGCGGACTTTCGCATGATTGCAATGGATAATCTAGCATAAACTCGGTGGTCTGTAGCTGCACATTAAACGTCGTTCCTACCACCAGGGAAAAAGAAAAAAAAGAGAGAGAGAGAGAAAGAGAGAGAGAGAAAACGTTGGAGGTCCACGTTTATGTGTGTTACGTTGCCTGCCTACACGTAAGGAAACTTATCGTTAGTCGCTATCATTATAAAACTTGTTCTCTCTCTCTCTCTCTCTCTTTCTGTATATATATATATGTAGTTTAAAAAATTGAAGAAAAAAAAAATCGATTTTTTTCCATTTAATGTTAATATTCTCCTTTTCTTTTTTCTTTTTTGTTGTTGCTGTTGTTGTAATTTTTTAATACACACGAATAATACACGCGAATCGTGTTCATAAACTTTGATGAACTTTCTTGAAATAATTCTAACAACGTTTAGATTATTGTCGATCGATTAAGAGATTAGAAAAAATATTCATACGAATTGTATGTTTGTTGATTTTTATTTTCGAATATTTTTTGTAATTCGATTTAATCGTTTATCGGTCGTCAGCACTTTTTTGCATGATTCTCATTTAATTGTACGTTCTTCATTGAGATATTTTTGAGTTGAATATATAAAAATTGATTGGAAAAGACAGTGGTATACGATTGAAAATATCAATTGTTCTGTTACGATGGATTAGAAAATTACCAGAGACAGAATTTAGATTATCTTTTATATTTTCTTTTCTTTATACTTGTCCAATATAGAATGCACCCTGATGCATACGAGATTCCTCCTCTATAGTATATATATATATATGTATATGTATATTCCCTGTCACACACATAGACATCATTGAGGAACATGTGGGTAGGTGTGTTCTCGTGACCTACTGGAAACGTACAAGACGCGTGTACGCATGCAGCAATGCAAGTTCGTTGCCGATCTCGAGGACACTTCCACTCAAGACTCCTAATAAGTTCTGGGGGGTTGGGTGGGGGAGGGGTGCTTCGAAAAGAAGAAATAAGAGAAAGAAAAAAATCGAACGCGATTCAACACCGATAAGAACTTACGAAGAAACAAAGAGGTAACTTCTAGAAATAGTTAATAATCGAGTATAGTGATCTCCGTGAAAAATGTTTATACGTTTAACACGTTCGTTATTGCGCAAGTAAAACCATTTACAAGCATTATCCGATCAATTTCTTACTCATCTAATCGATCTTCTAAGATACTTTAAACGGCTAACATTAAAACAAGAAATCAAACAAATTCCAACGATCTAGTGACATAATTATCATCATTCTTATAATGAATCTTCTATTTTTCATTATAATTCGCGAATAATATCTCGTTGTTTTATGTCACGTTGAAATCATTAGAACGCGCAATTAGAAATATGAATCAAATTTTTTTCCATTAATCGCATTTATGTTCCTTAAACGTAAATACATGTGTACATATACCTATATATATATATATACAATAGATAAATCTAAATAATAATAACGTATCAGTCTCTTCTCTCTTAAAATTCGCTTTAGAAAAAGTTATGATGTTTCCTGACACACCCTATATATAATATACATATGTATCTAAACATAATAATCTACATTTTCTTTCCTTATTTAACCAATTACATATAGAATGCATAATATGTAATACATAATGTCGAGGGTGGTGGTAGGGTGCAACGAAGTAGAAGAGGAAAAAGGGAGAGAGATAGAGAAAGACAGACTGAGAGTGCGAGAAAGAAAGAGAGAGAGAGAGATAGAAAGAGGGTCTTAAGTATAGGGCTGCCTTAACGATGTTTGTTTTATACATTGGCAGCCTCTTCTCGAACCTGTAATCTTTCTAAACGAGATATTACCTGGGCCCGTTGCGAAACAAACCCTTAAGCTTATCTTTCTCTCTCTAACTCTATTTCATTCTCTCTCTCTATCTCTGTCTCTGTCTCTCTCTCTTCGTCGGGTCGTGTGGTTTGCGGACTTTCGAAGGCCGAAAGAGTGGGGGAAGGAAGAGATAGAAAAGGATGGAAGAGTCTACTCGAAGGGGGGAACTGGGCCTCAAAATTGCCTCCCCTTCCTGCACCCCTCGACCCCTCCTTTGCTACCTGCCCAAATTGCCGGCCATTCAACAGCCTCCGGTCACGCACACGCGAACCCCCTCGCACACACATACACATACATACACAATCGCGCGCGTCGTCATCGTTTTATATACACACACGCGTATTACCTATTCTATTTTCTTTTCTTTTTTCGTTGACGAATTATCGGAAGGGGTTAGCGAAACCAGATCAACGATCATTTTTTTCTCCCCCTCCCCCCATTTTTTCTTTCTTTTTTTTCGATTTGTTTTTTTGCAACAAGCTTCCTACATTGCTTAATTTTTAGTTTAATAGGGATGTTTTAGGATATTTTAGAAGGGATTTTATCGTAATTTCTTTTTTTTTTTTATACCTCGTTGTTATTATTCGCGTTATTTCTTGTTTCGTTTCTTTTTTTTTTTTTTCTCTCATTTCCTTCTTCTTTTACCTTCATCGAAAATGAATTTTACAATGCGTTCA